CCTGATACGGGGGGAGAAAGAAAGGTAACATTTCTTTTCGTCATAGGCTCAGATTTGACGTTTGCCTTTCCAGACGTTCCCAAGCACATGTGTTTTTTTGGAGAGGGAATACTGGCCTGAGTGTGCCCAGAAAGACAGGGTCAGCTTATCTGATCTTTGAAGCACTCTGTGTTGCCAGATAAACAGTAATTCACAAGAAGCACTTTTCAATGCACATTTTCTGTTGAGCAAAAACAACATTTATAAACAATTAAGTATTCTTAACAATTTCAGTAAAAATGTTATGCTTGAACAAACAAAAAAGTAAGAATATTAGGGGACTTAAAGGGAAGTCTTCAACACCACAAGGGCTGCCACAGAGCTTTGCGTTTACATGCAGATCTTCTCTCTCATGCAGAAAACGGGTGAACACCACCATAGGAGTGTTCTCCCTCTCCCTGTTTCTCCATGAGCAGAAATGGTTTTGTTTCTGCTGTCTTTATGTGGTGGGGCTTTTCTGTGACGCTTACCACATCATGAAATGCTGTAGGGAGATGTTAGGAGGGAGCGAGTCCATCAGCTCCAGAAGGCTTTGCTGCTGGGCAGCTGCAGCACAAGCAACACGTAAAGATGCCTCTCCTGGGTGTTTTTTCTTCCTTTATTGAGCGTGCGAGTGGTGGGAGGTTCTGTTAGTACCAAGCACACGTACATTAAGCGGCATGAGGAAGGCACCGGAGAGGCTGGTGGTCAGCAGAGACGGGCTCGAGGGGATCTAGTTGTCCCCATGGGAACCGTTGGCCTCCCACATGCTGGACCAGGCCTGAGGCCGATGAGGGGGGTGGAAATGGGTTTGTAACTGGAGCGCAGAGCCCTGGGATTCAGGCACGAAATGTTGGAGCGGTTTTGTAAAAGGCCCCAGCGCGACTGGGAATCGGTGGATGGTTTCCTTTGGCTGGGGAAGAGCTGTGGAAATTTGACTTTAGCCTGGCAGCCTCAGTCGCGGTTGACATTTCTGTGCAGGAAATGTTTTTTGCCCTTTTTTTTTTTTTTTCTTCCTCCTAATTCAGGTTAGAAGGAGCCACTATAATTTATGCTGTCATCAAACAGACATTTCTACCCATCTTTCCCAATCTATCTTGTTCTATTTACTTCAGAGTTGGTACTTGAAGTGTCCTGGTGTCCATCCCCTCCCTGATGCTTGCTAAAGTTTTGCTTCATGCTTTTTGTTCTTCTATTTAAGGTAAAAGTGAAATGAAACTGGATGCAATGTTAGAAGTTTAAATATTCTGTCAGAAAAGGCAACATTGCCCATTAAGAAGGTTTTGCTTAACACTCAAGTTCCTGTAAGGTAGTTTTGGTGTCTCAGCTGGTTTTCGTCTTCCGAGGTTGCAGGCCGAGCTGTGGGACTATGATGGCTCTCTGGGACCAGCCATAAAATGCTGGGTTTTGTTCTTGTTGACTTCTGTGGTTGCGCTGCTTGGGAAAAGGCTAAATCTGATGGTGTCTATCAGGGCCCAAGTGTTGCTGACTGTAAATATTCAGGGTAAAATGCTGATGGTGCAGGCTTAGTGCTCTGGTGGTTTTAATTTTTCTCATTTGCTTCATCAACCCTGTATATTGGTTAATTTTATTGGCAACAGCCTCTGGTATCTGTTGTGAAAGAAAGAAACATTTAAATAAAATAACTAAGCACTTCATTTTCCACATGGTGCTTTGATCACGCTCTTGAGCAGTGAGCGAGCGCAGAGCCCTATGCACATTCGTGTGCCAGGAGAGCACCCTTGGGTAATGCACTGGGTAATGCCGGCCTTTACAGCCTGGGCCTGGTTTCCCCGAGTGGGGGTGACCTGTGGGGATGGGGATGGAGAACAGGCGTGTGCCCAGTGGAGGCCGCTGAGTTGGAATGGTTTTGCTGGACGCCTGCAGGAGCTGAGCTCTTCTGCCTCCTGTAATGAGCTGGAGTCGATTCTGAAGTAAAGAGCTGGGATTACAGAAAATAAATCTCCCTTATTACATCTGACAAATTGGGCTGCGCTAAAAGTGAAAATTACTATGGCAGCTGCTACACTGGTCTGTTCAAAGAGTGCAAGCTATCAAGCATAGCTATTAAAGCATGTATTTTCCCTGTACTCTACTGGATAGAAATGGTTTAAAACAGCAGTGTGCTTTTGTATGTCTGGGCCTGGATGTGACAGATGACATCGGTTAATCTTCATGTACTTCGACATGAAGCATCTTCATATGGTCAACAAGCTGAAGCTATGTTACGAAAGGGCAGCAGGCGCCATGTTTCCCATCCAGGACGCCTCAGTTGGGTCCCGACACTGGTGTCGGCAAGTCTCTAGGGCAAAAGCCAAAAGGCTCTGAAAAGATTTGAGCTTTTGCAAGCGCAGAAGGGCTGAAAGCAGAGCTATCCTTCGTGTCACACGTAGATTTGGTGGCAGTACTGTGGCAGGGGCAGGATGGCCTGAGTCCTGTGGGCCCAGTGAAATATCTGAGCACGTTACAAACACTTCTAAATGCATCCTCAGGAAAATGAAAGCATTGAGTGGAGATCCAAAGCACTGTTCAAGGAAGCAGCTTTCCCAAGGCTCCCATGCAGCCAGGCAGTGACAGAATTGGGACAGTAAGTCAGACCATTAAGTCCCGCGTTGGTAAACAAGCCATCAGCCCATGCTTCTTGTCGTTTTTGTCTCAGACACTTTCTGCTTTTCAGAGTCATTCTTCACTCCATTTTATAAATTTATTTGTAGGGAAGCCCCTTTTCTTTTTTTACTTCACATTTCGGCAGGTGGTTTGGGCTCCCATGTGCCACCCACCTCCAGCCCTCTGCGTTGCTCTCTAGTTGTCCCTGTGGAGAAGTTGGGGCGCTGGGGGCAGATTGGCAGCGTTGAGCTCGGCTGTGCGCCCTGTTCGCACGGCTCCGCAGGCCGTGTATCCTTGCGACAACGCGCCAGAGACAGGCTCCCTTTTCCATGGGCTTTAAAAGCTCTGAACAAATCCTTTTGAAGTCAGCACAGGACTCCTCCTCTTGAAGCAGGCTTTGAATCTGGCCCAAAACGCACAATTAATTTGCAGTGTGTGCTCCACTCTTTTACTAGCCCAATTGCAAATGCAAAAAGATTCTGACGGAGGCTTTGGAGAGCAGAGTACATGGTGTGGACGTGGAGGTGGGCACCGCGTGTGCTGTTTTCAGAGCAACACGACAGCGAGCGCATGTCGGGTTGCCCCACTGCACGTTGCAGACGCGTTCCTGCCTGGTCTTTCATGTTCTGTTGCATCTGCTTAGTTTGCACTGAGTGCTGAGGCTTTCTCTTAAGTCTTTCTGCAGGACCTTAGGGAACTTCAGCTCTCATCGCTAACAAAAAGGAAAGAAAACACTGGTAGGTCTTGCCTTGGTAATTGTTCTAGCTGTTGTCGTTCACACCGTTGGGAAAAAAAATATATAAAGCTTTAAAAGATTTTTAAAATTCCCAGTGCAAAGCCTGAATATTCGTAGGCAAAGAACCAGACTTCCCATTTTGCAATGTCAGTGCTATGAAATTGCTTTCTTGGCTGGCATGTTAAGCCACAGGGGCTTCTAAATAATGTTTTGTAAGCTTATTTCTAATTATGGCTTAATTTAGGTCTCTGAGTTTAACAAAATCCATGAAGTTTGCAACAAAATATTTTTCTGGTGAAAATACTGTTTGTGTGGATTAAAAATCTTGTATTCTTCATGTGTAAGGTTTCTGAGGTGTTTAAGCATCTGGAAATTGCATATTTTTCTTTACCTTTTTTAAAATGCCTATCAAAGGTAAAAATGATAGTGTGTATATGATATTGCATTTTGAAGACATTTTGAAAAGCAAATGTAGTTAGTTTTTTTCAAAGCTTTTGCTAAAATGCTCATGAGATCATAAAAGACCAAGCAGGAGGCCTAGGATTCAGTTTCACCCAGTTACTGCAGCAAGAGACAAATTAAAAGTAATTTTGCTTTTGTATATTTGCTCTTAGCATTGGCTTTTTGACAACAGCAATAAATAGAATTATCTGCATAATTGTATTTATTTAGTTGTTGATCTGTCTTTTTAGAGAAAATATCTCTTCCCCCAGATAAAATAATCTTCCATTCAGCTGTAGAGGAAGAATGTCTTTTTACAAGCCGTGTGGCTGTAGGGGAATGTTTCTCCACAGGGTTCATATGGCATTTTGATATGGGCTATTCAGGGAATTTGATTTTTGGTGAACAAAATATGTCGATGGCACTCAGGACTCGTTGCTTTCCTGTACAGATTGGCTAACAGGATATTTGCTCAACAGAGCTAGTCATAAAAGCAAGGGGATGATGTGATTAAACTAAGCTGGATTTAATACTAGATTTTTTTAACAGGATATTTTCTTAAATCAATTTAAGAAATGTCTCAACCCTGTAGCTCACAAGGGAAGAGAGAGTTTTGAACATTTCTGGCTAAATACTCATTAGAAATAATAGAGGGGGTGGAAAAACAGGATCATTTTGGAAAATACATTTAAATAGTTTTAAATTCTCTGCTGTGATCGTACATTTTTGACCCGCTGCAGCTTTATGTTGTCAAATGAAGAATGTTTCAGTTTCCCTTATGTTAATGTTTAAAATATGCCATTGAAATATAGTAGAAAATTAGAAATGGTGGTTAGCAGCAGAGTTACCTGGGGACTAGTCCACTGGCACTTACCAGCATTGGTATGTAGCCTTGTTACGTGCATAGCAATGCAGTCATGGTTCTTAAAGCTGGAATCTCGAGATGGGCTGAAGGAGGTAAAATCCTGGGAAATTCAGAGAGACCAAACATTGTTAACGCTTGTGTTTGTTGCTGATTGAAGGCCTAAATACCTGGAAACCAGTCTGAAAACTGCTTTTCTGAAAGTGATAGGGAATCAGGAGGCTGGGGAGGGGAAATGCTTTTATTTTCCAAGTAAAGGACTAAGATCCTGAAACAACAAAAAGCATCACCAGTGTCTACTGTCTGTATTTCACCTCCTTCTACTCTTCTTTGCAGGTGACGTATTTGGGTAAGGTTTCCACAACAGGGATGCAGTTTTTGTCAGGCTGCACAGAGAAACCAGTCATCGAGCTGTGGAAGAAGCACACGCTCGCCAGGGAGGATGTTTACCCAGCAAACGCCCTGCTGGAAATTCGCCCTTTTCAAGTCTGGCTGCACCACCTGGACCTCAAAGGCGAGGCGACGGTCCACATGGATACCTTTCAGGTTGCACGCATAGCCTACTGCACTGCTGACCACAACGTCAGCCCAAACATCTTTGCTTGGGTGTACAGGGAGATCAACGATGACTTGTCCTACCAGATGGACTGCCACGCGGTAGAGTGCGAGAGCAAGCTGGAGGCCAAGAAGCTGGCCCATGCCATGATGGAGGCCTTTAAGAAGACTTTTCACAGCATGAAAAGTGACGGCCGGATTCACAGGAATAGTTCATCAGAGGAAGTCTCTCACGAATTGGAGTCTGATGATGGCTGACTGAACAGGCACGCGGCTCAGCAAAGGCAGAAATGGCCAAGGGAATGAGAGCTGATAGGTGACTACGCAACAGTTGAAATTGGGGAATGAAAAGACTGCCAAACACTTGGCTGACCATATTTTTAAGTCAAAAGAGCAATTCAGTACCTAAAGATATGCATCATTAAAGTAATTGCATTACCTTGAAATCTGCTGCTGTTACAAACGTGAGAAAAAAGCTTCTTTTTCCCGAGTTTCTCACCCACTCATCACTGACCCTTTCTTGTTTCTATAGTTCAGGGGCATACTAGGAAGTAGATTCACTCCTGTTTGTCTTATAAAAGCAGTCGGGTGATTTTATTAGATGCTGCTCTGGCATTCATAGCTAGGAGCTGATGCTGATACAGAAGAGCAACTAGGACAGAAAAGCCCTGATGAGTCCAGAAGAACCCTTCTGCACGATGTATCGCAAAACCCTTTGACCCCATGTAGGTTATAACAGCCATACACAGCCTTTTAGACTAATGGCCTGGCATTCTGTAGTTAATTCACATTTCACAGATTAAAAAAAAAAAAAGAAAAGAAAAAAAAATGCTTGTATTTACACATTATATCATATGCTATCCTTTATTTTATTCATTATACCTATTTCCTTAACATATCTGCAGCCACGTCTTTCACACCCAGCGCCAGTAGCTGCAGTTGCAGACTATGTACTGCAGGATACCAAAAAGGGCTGGGAGAAAAAACCCGCGGTGGCCAGGCGACCAGCACCGGTACCTGTACGCTCTCAAACCCTGATTTGCTCCGTAGCAAGTGGGCCCACTGGTAAGAACTGAGCGATCTTGTTCAGACACTCGCCTCTGTCAGTATTTGAACTGTGATTTCTCATCGACCTCAGGTTTGAAGCGGCGTGAGCGTGGCAGCCTCAGCGCTGCCGGCGCCCGGCCCGGGCAGGGGGTGCCAGAGCTGCACTGCTGTAAAGTTGAAAAAGAAAAAAAAAACAAAAACAAAGCTCCTTTGGAGACAGGTTTGACAGTTTGCTCTGGTGGAGAAGCTCTTGTTAAGATCCCCACGCCTGCCCTTGCCTACAGATACAGAGTCCTGCCTTTCATAAATGTGGATGTTTAATACAACTCAAAACTTTGTTTCACTTGGTATTTTTCAAGGCCAAGAGCAGATCAATAGTTTGCAGGTAATGCTGCTCTTTTATACAGTTTTGTTCTTAATCATGGTAATGTTAGGGGCACTAGGGCACCTTACAGAAGCCTTAAAAGAAAGCTAATTGAAGCAGATAGCTCCGTGTCTGTGTTTTGTGGGTGTACGTGTCTGTGTGAGAGTGTATGTGTGAGTCCAATGTTAAAGCATGTAGAATAAGCATGGAGACATATTGAGGAGGGCCCACGCCTCTTAAAAATATGCTTGTTGCTTTACAATGTATGTAAACTATTCTTCAGCATAAATGCATTCATACTTTAATAAAAAATAAGTTTGAGTTAAAGCTTGGGAGTTTTAGGCTGTCTTTCCAATGTATCCCTGTGTGGTTTTGTTTAATATGTTTGAGTCCTCTGTTCCATTGACTTAGCAGCATGAAAATGTAAATTTATTTCCATTTAGTATTACATCAGTCTCCATGAGAATTACTTCTAATAATTTTAAATGATTTTCTATTAAATATTTGAGGTGAGATATTGCTAAGAGATTTTTTTAAAAACTTCTTTGTGTGTGGATGCAATTTATACTCTGTCTTGTGGCAGAGACTTATTTATTTTCTCTGCTCTGAGCAATGAGTTTCAGTGAGCCCTGTTGGATAGGAACAGTCTCTTGACTTGGCTTTATAAATCACAAATGGTTTAGGTCTGGCATTAGCTGGTGGGATCGGGAATAAAAACTAAGCTCAGCATATTTCCAGAATTGTTTCTCTGAATCTCTTGGTGATCCACTGGTTTCAAATAGAGCTGTAAAGATAAAATTTTCCCCATAATGCCCCTTTGGAAGTAGGAGGTCATGTGTAGGCTATATATTGCTTAAAATAAAGATCTGAATCCTGTTATGCAAGTATCTGTCTTTCTAACTGGAGGCAAAAGCCTGAAAATTTCTTCCAGCTTTAAACAAATGGCTTTTTCTAGCAGAGCTATAACACTGTTTTAGTTTCTTTAGTTGCGTGGATGTCCTGCCACTAAAGTTGCTGTGAATCCATGTCCGGAATCCTCAATTTCACCCCCTCGGCGAGCTGCCCCTCTTGACAGGGAGGGGTTTTGCCAGGGAGCTGCAGCACTTGGCCGGGATGTCTTGAGCTTGGGGAGAGGTGAGAGCGCCATGGGGAAAGGTGAGAGCGCCGGGGACCTTTTCCCTGCTCGAGCGGGTGCCTGTGAGCTGGGCTGTGCCTGCGCCACGAGGGGCCGACTGCTGCCCCTTCTGGTTCGGGCTTTCCACTTCTCGAGCCGAGCCCTTGAAAGCCAGGGCTGCGGTGCTGCCTTGGGGTGCTCTGCTCCCTCTGCCCGACACAGCCCTCTATAACACATCGCCCCAAGCAGGCTGAACTGGACAAAAATGTTGTAACCATTTCATTTTCATCCACAGTGTTTCCTCTCAACATGGGATCTGCTGAACGCATCCTGGCTGCCTAAATTACCTGCAGGTATGGGGTATATCCTGAATACTTTGTTTAAGGACACTTTGAATTATGCAAATAGCGCTGGCTTCATTTTCACAATGTGTAGAAACGATAGGTGGAAATGCCAAGAGTTATTTAGACGTGGCTTTGCATGCTCTGCCATGAGGTCATGTCTTGCTCCCCTTCCTCGTCCTTTCCGTGGCTGCTTGTGCCAGCCCTGGGCCGTGCAGCCGGCTTGCTCTTCCCACCCTGGAAGGAGGGTCGCATGGCA